CGTCGCTGTGAGTATTCCAGACGTCACACTTGTTGCTACGCAACGTTGCCTTCCGCGCTCGCTTTGAAATTCCTCCTCACAGACTCGTTCCCTGGCCGTAAAGTTCGATTCTGTCGTGGGTTTAAACTCATTTCGGGAGTGTGGAAGTGTCGCTAAACCCAGAAATCCCAAACCCCAAATCCTAAACCCAAAAAAAACGTCAACGCGACAATCAGAAACCCCGGAAAATATCGAAAGAGTGAGGCAGTCAGTTGTGCGTTCTCCCCGACGTTCGCTCGCAAACACGCAGCTTCTATGGGAATTTCTGACACCCACTGTTCGACGAATTCTGCATGAACCTTCAATTCATCCCTACAAACTGGCGTTGTACAAGATTTAACTGGAAAGGCATTTTGTTGCCCGTCAAAATGCATGTGAAATGCCGGATTGACAAACCTGCCTGAAGTCGCGGTCGTTTTTTTCAGGGACGAGGGCTCACTGTCCACATTTCCGGCGCAGTCAAACAAGCAAAAAGCATGCGTTATTGGTTGTGGTGTAAACTCCGCGGTGAAGCTTCACCAGAAGCCACTTAATTGTGAGCGAGTACTGTCTGGTGTTGCGATGTCGGTAATGGGAATAATGTCCTTATTTTTGAAGAAAACGAACGCCGCCAGTTACCGTGAATGGAGCTCGTCCACAGGAACATGATCGAGGAATTTTTTCTTCCAAAGACTTCAAAGAAAATGAACCGTTAGGAACGTGTGGTTCAGCAAGATGAGCCGCAGCACACACAGCACGAGACACAATGAATTTGTTGCGGAACATTCCCGACGCCTCATCCTCTCTCAGAGGCGATGCTCCATTGCCGGCACGCTTCAGATTTGACGTCCATGCGATTTCTTTTTATGGGGTTATTTTGAAATCCCTGGTTTTATGTGATCGAACCACCCGACCATAGCACACCTCAAGAACAACATTCTCGACGCCATTGCCAACATACGATTGATATGCTGCAAAGAGTGGTTACGAATTTCAAAAAATCAACTTCATCAGTTGTATGCGCAATGGAGGTCGCCATTTATCCGATGTCATTTTCAAGACTGCATGAAAAAAAATGGGATATTGTATTCTCAAATAAAAAAAAATAAAAACAATAAACTGAAGTATTGTGTTTAGTGACCTTTCAAATAAGTAAGTTTCTCTGGCGCACCCTGTACTACACCCGCAAAGTTTTTCTTGATAGCCGGGGAGTGGCGGGGAGAGGAGGGCTCTAAATCACGTCACTACTTAAAGGGCGTACCAACTGTGGGCATGAAACTTAACGCCCCAAGCGGTGCCAGTAAAAAATACAACGATTGTTTGAAGGTACGATTGTGTTGTTGGCAGCATTGTAAATTGGTACCGTGCCCGCTCGAATTGAACTTAACTATTTCAACGGGCCGTGCTATTTAGCGCTGAGAGACTAGGAGCTCGTGCTATCAAGAAAACTGCGCGTGTAGATACTTTTGAGCCTTCCAATGTGTCGCCTCCTCCATCGTCCACACACATCAGCATTAATGAATCTCACCAGCACTCGTTGCTGTTGCGTTCTTGACTTGAAATAACCCCTCTGCTGCTTTCCCCTCCACACGCTCCACAAAAGAAGTCTTCTCCCTTGGGACACCTATGCCGCCGCCTCATGAACAGAAATCTTTTCTACGTGACGTTTGTTTTGATGGCCCAAACGATTCATGCACACTCGGCATCGGCTCGGAGAGACGGCCAAAGGGGACAGGTTGATTCTCTATTAAAATTACTTCAATGCACGAATTATTCAACTTGTATAACATTCCACCGCTAAAAACACACCATCTCTATCTTGGGGACCGAACTCGCACCTTTTGTATCTGCTCGCATGGACTCGCACAGACATGAATTTGCGAACGACCAATAGGAAGATTCAGTACGTTGTAAATGTGGCCTGTCAACCACTTCCACCACTGATCAGAACTTCACAATCAAATAACTCCCTTTACGACAGCACTCACTGTTGACGTTGGTCCTTTGCCAAAAAACAATCCGCCCAGCACTCACAAAAGCTCGAAAGATCAGAAACCGTTATCGATGGAACGGTAGCCAAGGCATTTTGTTACCCCTGAGTCAATTACCAAACGGTTCATTCTCGCATTCCGCGCCTTGGCCACATCCGTCACAAATGGCAAAAGCACTTTAGTATCCACCACCAGCACCACGCAACGGTACTGTATTTGGCCTTGGTTCTTGCTTCTTGCCTTCTTGCAATATTTTTCACATGTCCCTTGTAGCATCGCGCGTAAACCACTTAAGCACTTTCTTTCTTCATGTCACTTGTTTCCCGGAGGAAACACGCGTTTGAATTTGCACACTTGCATATTACAATATACTAGAATATAGAATATACTACTTAGACTGGTGAAGCGCCTCAATCTTTGAAAGCAAAATTTGAAGCCGTTGTTTTTGCCCGTTATAGCAGCGCCCCTTGGAAACAAAGAATTCTAACATTAAGTTGGCACGGAATGGGGGGCGTGTCGGTCGCGTGTAATATTAGGTTCGCGTGTAATATAAATCCTCTTATTGTTATTCTATTATCAAAAAACGAATCATTTAAAAACGGAATGCAATATGTTATGAGAACGAATTGAAGAAAACATTTTAAATACATTGTTGCTTCCCAGCAATTCGAGATTGTCATTAAGAAAGGAAGCTATTAAAATGGTACTGTAGTTGACATTAAAACCTGAAAGCGAATGTAATTGCCAATTCCGTTAAAACGAAAAACAATAAAGAATAAGTTGTGATACGAGCAACACCACGTCGATCAGTATAGAAGTTGAATACACCGCCGTTTTGACTTCAAAAACATGGCAGCCTCTGTTGGCGAGCTTCATCAGAGCACTGGAAAACTATAGGGGACAGCCACTCTCTGTAGTATATTCTAGATCGTTGCGTTGTTTTTATTACTCATATTTAGGTATTACAGCAGAGGCACATTATTCATCATGTCCCTGCCCTTACATATTGCGACATAATAAGTGTTAGACGAATTCTCACTTTCTTGAAGGAACTTCACGTGTCACGAGAAGGAATTTTGAAAAACTAGTTTTCCAATATAGCTTTTTTTATGCCAAAAAGTAGATTTTCAACTTCTTAAGAATGCTGGTTGTATCACCTAAGAACGTACATTTCTTCTGCAATTATAGATTTTTCATATATATAATACTTAATTCAAATTCAAATAACAATAGTATTTGATATTATGCTTAGCTATTGTTCTTACTAACTCGCCAGAACAACGCACACGTCTGGATTGGATTTTCCTCTGTTTAATACACTTGACTCAAAGCAGGGCTGCTTCTGTTTCAGCAAGACCCTGGCAGAGTGTTAGTAATTATAAATAAAACTTTCTTGTTCGTCAGAAGATTTACCCATTTCAGGCTGTTATGGTGTGTTTCTGCGATTCAATTTACCAAAAGTCTTCACGGGTGCATCATGGTTTGGACGTCGCCATGCGCCGTTTCATTGACGGTCCTGGACAGCGGGGCTGCCTTTAATATATTCCGCACGTTTTATTGAGCTCCGCAATATCTACCCCTACTTCCTTTCCCAAACATAAGTTAAATTTTAAGAATAATGATAACAACCGAGCGTTGTGACAAAAAAAAATATGGCGTAACGAAGAAATGTTCGCCCTCGTATATTTAGAAACTATGTGTTTGCATCGAAAAGTGAAACTACAAAATTCGACGTTAAAAAAATTCCTTTTTGTCAAAATAATCAAACGTCCTCTCGCATTCTAGCGAAGCAGGGCTCAAGAAAAAACGTGCGCGGATAAATACGTTGCGGACGATGAACAAACAATTGTTTTAAAATGTTAATTTATGTGTTGCCCCACGTTAAAAATTTGGGCATATATAACAACCAAAAAATGAGTGTAAAAAAAAGTACATCGGTATTTTTTTTAAAAGTTTAAATTTAAGTGGCTATCGAAAGTAGAAAAAATTGCCATTTTAAAAAATTAAAATATTTTTTTAAATATTTATATAACATATTTTTACCAAAAAAATTTAATATTTACATTCACATGAAAAAAGTATATCTTTTTAAAGGTTAAATTTTAACAGTGTAATTTTGATTTTGTGTAATTAAAACGGCAAAAAAAATTTTTAAAACACTAGCGCGGCGCATGATTCTTGGGAAAAGGTAAATGGTCTTAAATTTTATTTCTTGAAAAGTGATTAGGAAAAAAAAACAGAAAAAAAAACTGGACAAAACTAGTTTCTCAACCTTAGAAATCATAAAAAAAATTCAAGTCGCTAAAAAAATAGTGATGTTTTGTGAGTGTGAGATTTTTTGATGTGGGAAGACCTATCTTCTTCTT